TGTGTTGAAAGGAGAACCTAATAGATTTATTGCTACTTGATAGATTAAAGCATCTAAAATAGGGTTGTATAGAGTACCAAAACTCTGAAAAGAATTAATGCTCAAATACTGTTTCTGGATACAATGCTGTGGTAATTTGGCATGGTTTTGATACTTTCTTTGCATATTTTTATTAATTAAAAATTGTAGATATCTAGATTATTTGCATATAACAGAAAAATACTTTTTTTTTAAACTAAGAATATTATTGCATTGTTTTTATATTTGGGTTATTTATTTTTTAATTATTAATATTTGACTAATATATGATTCTGTTGAGAAAGAACATTTAAATTGAAGTGGGAACTTTTTTTTGGTTAATAAATGGGGTTTTGTTTTTACCTCTAATTATTTGGCATTTTTTATTCCCATGGTATCAAAAAGTAAATTGAGTATTCGACATTTTCTTTGGAATTGATATCAGGTTGGACATTTTAATTTCACGATGACCCTAATCTAAAACTTGCATACTACTAATTCTAAAAATGTGTGATCTAAGCATGAAGACAAGTTGATTTTTGCTTGAAAGAAATCAATGGCTCTGCATATGTGAATCATAAAAAAAAATCTCTGCATTTTACGGCCAAATATATTTTAGAAAAAAAGAGCATTATAAAAATAAGAGTGGGCGCGGTGGGCTGGTTTGAAGAAGAGCACTTGTGTTCTGAGAAGTCTCAAACCCCACAGTCTGCCACTCTGATCCCTGAGCGAGACTCTAGATCCAGATTGCTTCCTGTGTGCTCCAAGCATCCCACCACTCCCAGAGGGACGGGTTAAATGCAGAGGTCAAATTTCATGTACAATGTAATGTACATTTAACAGTGACAAGTAAAATTGATTATCCTTATAAAAATTTACATAAGAAAGCAATTGGCCTCTGCAAATAAAAAAATTCTAAGAAATCATTTTATTGTGTTGAAGGTTAGGTGATTCTTTTTTTTTGTAGGGGTGTTGGGTTTTGTTTTGTTTTCCCTCCTGCCTTTACTCAGATGTATAGCTGCACAGTAGCAGGCGCACAGGATGATGGACAGGCCTTTATGGAGGTGACATTGGTGCTTCCCTGCAGGCTGTGTTTGAATTTAACTCCTTGTTTGCTTTCTCTTGCAAATAAAATGTTTCATTCCTTATCTTACCTTTGATGTTTGCTGCATATCATCCTTTCTTTCCCTCTTTGCACTTCTCCTGTCTCCTTTCTGTCAATGGCCACACCTTTTTATGTTTTGTTAAAGCTGTTAGACTAATTGGAGTAGAGCAACTGAGGTTGTGAATAAATACAGCACATTTTCATTCATCAGCTCAGTCTGGCCTTTACCTTACATCTTTTGCTGTCAGCAACGCTCCATTCACAGATTTTACTCTTCTTGGTTATGGTGCCCTACTCTGCATCCAGAAAAGCTTTTTCTCTGCAGCAATTAAAAGGAAGTTTAAGTAATGACTCAGAGGTTATGTTGCAGAACTTAGCTGCAGTGCAGCCTTCAACAGCAGATTATTGATTTCAAAGATGAGTTTTGTTATTTTTGCCATTTGGTTAAACGTGCCCTAACATTTCTGTGAAGTCCATAGGTGGTCTGGCTGCAGACATGTTTCTTTTTCTTGGACATAGACCTATGACACCTGCTGTCAGTTTTTTTGTGTGATTTTTGTGGAGTTTATTACTACAAAACAAAAAGTAATCTCATAAAAACTCAAAGCTCTCAAATATTTTCCCTCACATGGCCGTGATTTCACATGTAGCTTGTTGTATTTATTTAGTTTTTTTCCCCCTCTTGTCTCTCTGAATTAATTCTTCGAGGTATTTCTTCTTTCCCATATAGGCAATGGAGTGCGTCCTCCTGGAGGCCTATTAGTTTGATTCTTGTGATGTCATATATTAGCTTATTTTCATCTTCATATCCATTAGGGCTGAAACATTTAATTGGATTAAACACGATTAATTGATTATTGAAATAATCGTCAACTAATTTAGTAATCAATTAATCGTTAACTGGACTGTAGAAACTGGAAAAAATGCCTGTAGCTGACAGAGCGACCCACTTAGAGCAGCAATTATATATTAACCTGTAAAAAAAATATAAAAATTTAGCATTTAAGATAAAAAATGAAATAAAATGTTTCTGTTTCACCTGTTTTTTTTTTTCTTAAAAAATCTTTAAGGAATCTTTGGCTATCCTATGATTAATCGATTAAATGAAGAAATAGTCGACAGATTAATTTATTTGCAAACTAATAGTTAATTGCCGTATTAAAAGACTTTGTATTGTCTTTCTGTGGAGCTTGGTTAATAAAAATATATGTAGTCTGTTCCGTTTTTAAAAAGGTTTCTGAAGTCCAATTACAGTTTTCGATGGTTGCCAAAATTGTATGAACAGCGTAGATCTCTTTTCTTTTAGATCATTACATGTGTGTCGTGCTTCAGTTCTCCTGATCATGGAGCAGTTTGAAGCTGGCTTATAGTTACCATCCACTGACTGCCCACAGCTGTGAGGACCAACACGGTCATCAGTTCCTCTTATTTCCTCCTCATCTTCTTGCATGTGTGGTCTCCTTTTTATGGAAAAAAACTGTTGTGTGGCATCATGTGAACTTTCACATAGAAGTCCCTCTGAGTGACGGCTTCCCACATGGTTGGATAGAGGTTATTGTTTAGCACGCAGCAGCTGTAAGGAAAATGGCTAACTTGCGTTCTGCAATTTACTGACTTGTTCTTATTGTTGCTACTCGGAGAGAGTTTTAACGAAACCTTTGATTCATCAGAAGGTAATTTCAAAATTAGCTTTGACTTGTATTGTTTTCCAAGTTGAAGTAATTGGAAAAAGGAAAGATCTATAAGATTAAAATGTATATACTTGTTTAGCTTATTGTATCAAGATGCACATATTTAGGTTCATAATACTTCAGCATTAACTATCTTTAATTATGTCTAAAAAGTAATATGTCTGCAGTAGAACACTGATCCTACTAAATCCTCTTCTTTTTTAGTTTTTTATTGGAGGCTTTTAATTCGCCAACGGAAGTACATCGATTAAAGTAGTGCTCCCAATCTGTGTTCTCATACATTTTGCATAAAGCGACCTCATTATTTCTTTAACTGCCAAACAAATGTAACCAAAAACCTGATAATGTTACTTCATGTCATGCATCTGGGTATGCAACACTGTTCTAATGAAGGTTCACCCACCTCTGCATGCTGTATCCTTGGAGCGCCTGACTAACCTTTTTTTCTGATTTATTCTGCTAAACATTATTTAACCACTTGAGGGTGTTAATGAAGTTTGGAGCCACATTCATGGCCACCTAAGGAGAAGGCAACCAATTGTGTTTTTAAGGGCCCAGCGTAGAGTAGGGGCTTGATATTTCAGTTACATAACATCTTTTCCCTTTTATTTTTGTTCCAATTTTTCCTTAAAACAGAGCAAACCTCTTAAGCCTAACCCATATAATGGCTTGACTGCCGGTTCTTGGAGTTTAATTTGACCAAATAAAGCTCAAAATGCCTGGAATAGGTAAAGAAAGCCTGTCCCATAACTTGTATCAGGCCCTGCCAATGCTTTCAGCTGTCCAGCCTACATTATGCATGTTTTGCATGAAATGCCAATGTAGTTTGTAGAGTAAATATTGCATTTAGAAGAACAGTTCTAAGAACTTTTTAATTTATAATCGGATTAAATTGAGACGACCGTTTGCTTGTGTTGCTACTGTTAAAACTTTGCTTCCCTTCGTTCTACTTCATCTGATGCTTTTAGATAGATCAACATAAAGTTTACTGGATTACGACCTTTGAGAGGTTGAGCCAAAGTGTTTTTTATTTTTCTCAGAAGTTGCATGCACGTTTGCTAGAGAAGCTTACCCACTCCCACATCTTCTCAGTGGGAGCCTGCCCATGTCTTTGAGATTCCCCATACCTGTGTAATTATGTTATGCTCACACATCACACTTGAAACACCCACTAAGCCTCAGCTGTCCGCGCAGTACGTAAAAACCACCTACACGTTCTTTTTAGAGCCACAGTCAGTTCCTTCCTCCATGTCTGTTAATAACCCTTTTCTGTCCTGTCTGTCAGACGCTGTGTGTTGGAAAGTCTCACCAGGCTGCGTGCATGTGTTGGAAAAAAGGATGTGAGACACAACTGTGCTGGGGGTGTTGGTGTGCAGTTGAGCCTTGTTTCCCAGAGGCCGCAGAACAGCTGCTAATCCACACGCACGCACAAACACACACACACACCTACGCATATGAATCCACTCTGTCTGGAACTGAGAGTGCTGGGATTCACAAAGGAACCAGGCTGTTTCATGTGTGTGTGACTGTCTTGTTTCAGCCGGTCTGAAATAGCTGGTCTCACAGTGAGTCACCGCTCCTGCCTGAAGGGGAGGAATGGAGCCGGTGTGTGAGCGAGGCACTCCAACTTTCTGTGCATACACTTTTTTGAACTTGTTTGCCTGTGCCCTCCTGATGACAGCACACTCTTGACTTGTTGCTTTTATCAGGACAGAACAGAAGTGTTGGACATGTTTCTGTCGTTGTCGTCCCACCGGCTTTAGCGCTGGGCCTCGTGGCTGGTTTTGTTTACCGCTGTGTTTGCCTTGTTGATGGATATTGATTCAGACTAGATGTAATCTGATGGGAATAACCTTCAACATTGTATGTGTGCGTTTTAAATTGTCCATCCCGGGATGTAAAATGGTGGATTGCATGCGCTGGACTGAATGTGACAATTGGTTTATACACATATGAGTTATCCTCCCAAAGGGTTGGCTCTCTTTCTTAAAGATACAGGTTTGAAATAATATTTAATGCAATTTTGTTTGAATTTTAATGGATATGTTTGTGGTAACACCATTATGAATAACCCTGTTTTGTTTTGAAGTAATTAAGTAGCTCTAAATGACAAGTTCAAGACCCATTTGACAACTTTCGGGCTTTAAATGTTGCTGCCTTTTCTCATTGCTGGAGTTTCGTCCTAGGTCTGCACATGGGGGCGGGCAAGAGCAAGCCCAAGGAGCCGGGCCAGCGCTCCATGAGCCTGGATGGTACTATAGGCACAGGCTCAGACAGCGGACACTTCCACCACCTGGGCCCCACTCAGCAGACCCAGACCCCCAATAGAAGCCCCGCCGTCGGCACAGGAAGGCGGGGGTACCAGGGGCAGCATCAGCATGCCCCAACAAATACCCCGGAACTAGCTCTCTTCGGAGGTGTGGACCACACAGGAACTGTTACATCTCCTCAGAGAGGACCTCTGTCAGGTAGGAAAGTGCATGACATTTTACACGTTTGGTTTTCTGTGTTATGCAACTGTTGTAATGGACAGCCTGGCACTTATTCAGTCAAGGTTCACGAAGTCCTCAATGCACTGAAATATTCTCAACATGTATGGATTGTGCATTAAGAGACAAACATTTCAAGCAACCTACCGTAACTTCTTTTGCAGCTGTTTTCTGCTCCGTATATCTTGGGTTTAAATTATATTGTTTGCAGAGAAGTTGTATTTTTTATGTTAAGTTCTAATAAAGGTAAGATAAGATTTTTTTTTCTCCGAAAAGTTAAAATCGTTGACAGTTAAGCAGAGGGACTGGAGTGCATCTCCAGCAGTGACTGGGTGAGGGGGAGGCAGATGCCTTACTGGTTGCTCTAATTTATCACAGGTCAACATGGAAAAAGGAAAAAAACATGCACACACACTCATCCATTATCTTAGATAGACCTTTTAACCTTACATAAATTATGGACTGTGAGAAAAAGCAGAGATGCCCAGTCACGGGTGTCCCAATGCAACTTTGTAATTTCCCTTACAATACCAATATTGCATCTTTGAGTATTGACCTGTTATTGATATTAACCCAATACAGTATCAGTACCAATCACACATAATTTAATAAGTTTTTTTGTAGCGTGGAATGTTAGAAAAGGTTAGATCAAGTGATATTAATCAAACAATAGTCAACAACAGACTGTATGAAAACAACTGACCCATTTATCAGTAAAGGAACTGGGGGCAGGAATCTTAAAATAATTCACATGCTTGTCTTTTTTTAATGCTAATGAGTGATTTAATGTTAGAAACCAAAATAAAGCAACCTGACAGATGACCTCTTCATTACGTAAAATTACATAATATGCTGCAATTTTGGGGCCGAATTTCCGACGCAGTCCTACGGATGGGACGTCCGTTGTCGCTGCAACAGCTTTGATACAGGAAGTCACGGTTGTTTTAGAAGTAATAGGAGTAGAAGAAGAAAACTAAAATAAACATTAGTTGGTTAAGTCGCCTTTTGACATGTTGCTTGTTGCTGTCATAAAATATGTACAGTGGTCTTGTAGTAATTGGTGTTACAGCATCAGCTGTGCAGGACTGTGAATGCGGCCGGTCCATGAAGCAATCCTGCGTGCTCCCATGCCATCTTGGCTGGTGGCTGCAGTTATCCGCAGTGCCAGTCATGTAACTTCTGAGCCATGTGTTACATTCACTTAATGTAATGAAACAGAGTTTCACTATCTGCTTGTTTGTAGATGCAAGCCAATACATTCCGATATTTTCATTTGGCTGATATCGTAGCAGTTTCCGTAATCGGATGCACTAATGTGATGCACTTGCTGAGTATTAGTGAGCACTAATACTCAGCAAGAACCTACAGATGCATGCAGATAACCCAATTTAGAAACACTCTGAGTGGTATTTGAACTCACGACCATTTAGTGTTATAGAGTGTACTAGTATCTCTTCAGGCTGCATCCATATCATATCGAAAGCACAGAAAAGTCGTAGTAGAACCCAAAAATAATACCTACCGTATATGCCTTTTTATATTTATTTTAAGTGGAGAAAGAAGCTTGTGAAGCAACAGGAAGGAAACAGCAGCCTTTGTGTCCAGATAAATAAGTACCTGCAAACAGCAGCATGATCAGAAAGTCAAAGTTGCTTCATTATCAATGCTGTAGTTTCCCCACTGTTACAGTCCTGGAGCTTCATTTTTTTAAAAAGAGGCAGCAACAATCCCACTTGATAAAATCAGAAATGTTTTTCACCTACTCCACTAACTGCTAATTAAGATCAATTAAGATTGTCCTTTCTAAATAAAGCAAACAAGTACTTAAAAGCTCTTTAGTCTTCACTGCAGATCCAGATTTAATTCAACATTTCTTAAATTAAGTGTATTTACCCTTAATTTGAGTAGGTAAATAATCTGCCAATGGAATGAGTATTTTTAATCTTAAAATCAGATAATTAGATAATATGAACTTGAAATAAAACAATTTAATTGTTTTGTCTTGTTTTAAATATAAATTGTCTTGTTCCATTGGCAAAGTGTCTCACTTACCTCTTCAACTCATGAAAAAATGCAGCTATTTTAGGTAAAAATGACTTATTAAGATTAACCTTTTTTTGCAGTGTACTCCTCATTAGATAGACTTAAAGCTTGTCTCTGACACCGTGCCTCAGTGTCCTGTATTTACCCAGTGATGTTCAAGCTGTCTGGACCAGCCAGATGGTTGGGTTAATGTTGCTTCATGCAGAGAAAATGCCCTGCTGGTGTATCAGCAGCAATTTTCCTAACTAATACATCCTGTCATGCATCTAATGAGCCAATCAATGATTTGCTGAAGGGTAAAGGTTTAATGTTGAAGCCAATATGCACAATATTCTTCTCAAATATTTAAAACCTTGTTATCTGGTTGTCTTTCAGGGGAGATAGGTCAAAGGATGTATGGATATCAGTATTTATTAATAAACCCTGGGAAAGTGTTTTTTAGCTCACAAAACCTAAAAAAAAACTCATTCAAGGTGAGGTCTCTGCTATGCGTGTCAGGAGGAAGCACCCTGTTATTTGTTGAGTCTTTAATTATAGTCCTGTTTAAATAAATATGTCTGTATTCCTGGTTTCTTGCAGGAGGCGTCACTACATTTGTGGCGCTGTACGACTACGAGTCGCGGACGGTGAGTGACCTGACCTTCAGGAAGGGCGACCGGCTGCAGATTGTGAACAACACGTAAGAATCTCTACCCGTTTCCATCAGTTCTTCACTCTCCTACGGACTCGATATTCCTCTTTTACACCAGCTGTCTCAGTTAGCTGATGTTTAACAGAACGTCTGTGACATATTCAGGGCGAATTACACCGGGAATAATCATTACAGTAACTGAACACATTTGTCTAGTCTGTCATTTGAATGATTTCCTCTGCTACTGATTTCTGGCCACTAAATGAGATTCCTGACTCCAATCCTCACCTCCTTATGCAGGGTGTGTACTATTACACATAATTACACACACTATCCTAAGGTAGACTCCAACTGTGAGCCAGACAGTTTATGACACAGTGCTCAGCAAACTGAGTAAACTAGTGTTCTGCAAACTATGAAATTCAGATTTTGATCTTTGAAGCTTGCATTTCCCTCACTAATTCTCCTGCTATTAAACGTTGGTACTGCTAAGATCTTCAGGCATCCAGTTCAAGCTCCGATGACCAAAAAAAAGTTGCATGTTAAAGTAGATGTGCTCAGTAGATTGTTTTTACATGAACAGTGACGGCCACAGCGAAGGGTTGGAGCTGAGAACAGTGGAGCAAAACCCTCCCATCTGTTTACACAAGCGAAGGAGATGAGCGTTTCGTTGACGCGTTCTCCTTCCATTTGGGCCGCTGCCATCCTCGTAATCTTTTAGTCTTGTCAAAGAGAGCGTGTCATGCTGAGATGCAGGCTTGACTTCTTTTCTTTGTTACCGATTAGACCTGAAACTTGTGCCTTTCAGCTCTTATCAAACTCTTAAGTTGTTAAGCCAACACGGAAGGAACAGAGTAAATATTTAAGTAGGTAGATAACAAATATATAGGTTGCAAAAAATCTCTATTAGAGGTAGACCGATATGTCGAGTGACCGATATTTTTGTCCAATATTGGCTGTTTTTTTTGTTATTTTTTTTATCTTGCAACGACTGATAAGTTCAAGCATTTGCTGATGTATGTGTGAGTCACACAAGTACATGCATTGCCAATCCCTCCATTTGCAATCTATTATTCAATTTGTTCATGTTTTATTTTTGTTTAAATTGTGAGTCTTAACATTTATTGCCATTGTTTCATTTTCAATATATAACCGAAGGAAGAAAAAGCAATGTCAGCTTCAAGAATCTGGCCCCAAAAATCAGCAAAACATATTCAGTTCAGATTAGTTAGACCTATAATTATTGGCATCAGCCTTAAAAAACATCTATCAGTCGAATTCTAATCCTTAATGGGTGATTAAATACTAAAATCTTTTACCTTCTGTGCTAAAAGGCTGTAAAGTCTTCTGTCATCTGGAACTGCATCGTTGGGCTGTCAACCAAAAAACAGACTTTAAAGGGTTTATTTATAGAACAAATGGTAAATTATTTCTGTTTAGGTTTTTTTGTTTTCTTTTTAGTTCTTCGGATTTAAACTGACATCCCAGAATAAAATGGATATTAAAACAGCCCCACAAAGCAGTCCTGCAGCATGGCCCCCTCTGCTCCCCCTCCCTCCTCTGTGCCGTGCTGCTCGCCTTGCCGTGTCTCTTTGCTCTGTTTTGATGCGTCTGCTGTGTCTGTTATCTCTCCTTCTCTCTTCCTTTCTCATGCTTCATGGTTTCTTCTAGGAAAAAGTACAGCTTCAGGTCAGTACTGTTGCCTCGTGCAACCTTTCTTTTGTAGTTCTTTATTTGCTAGTGCATGGATTGAAACGAATAGTCTCTTGGTTATACCACAGAATTCTAGCTGAAATCACACCTAGAAGAGGTTTGTGGTGTTGCTTGCTTTTGAATGTAATTAATGCCTCTGAAATTAAAGCAACAGTTCCACTTTTTTTTTTATGTAAAGCAGAATAAAGGTTACCTGGGTTAAGGTTTAACTCAACACTCTGAGGGAATTGGTGTGGTTCAAGCTCCTTATGTAAACAGTTTTTCACTATAGGGCTGTGATATGGTTAAAAAATGTAATCACTCTATATTAGTATTTGACTCTAATGGGTTTTTTAACAAATCTGAAATGACGAACCAGGGAAAAAAAGCCTGGATTTAAATTTTACTCCTATCTAACCTTTAAAAAGAGATTGACTACACCATCAACCTTGCTTAGCTTGGCCTTGAGAGGTTGAGAGGCTAAATCCTTTCCTCTGCCTGCACCCCCAGAATACTGAGCAGTTCTGGGTAATATATATTTTCTGTAGATAATGATCATATATTTACACAAAAATTGGTAAAACGGTGTCAGAGAAATGTGTATAGCCATAGAAAAACACCCAGTTCTACAAATTTCCAAATTAGTGAACCACTTATAATTTAATTTAAGTAATAATATGATTTTTGAAGGCTTCAGAGGTTGTTTGTAGAACAACGGTGAACAAATGCATCTTTGAAACAAAGAACACCAGGTAAATCAGAAATAAAGTTGTGCAAAAGTGAGTTTGGGTCATTTAACAACATCCCAAACATCTGAGAAATGAGGAAAATTAAAAAATCCAACGAGATGCATTTTTGGAATTAAAGCTCAAAGGGTCAAAAGACTAATATTAACTGGAGAGTTAGACAAGAGCCCAGTGGTCAATTTAAAAGAACTAAATTTTTTTAATTAGAGCCATGAAGGAGAGAATTACATTAAAGATAAGGCAAAAATTGAGCCGGACCCAGGTGGTAGAAATGTCCGCTGTTTTAGATATGGATGCACCCATTCAAAAAATCACTTCCAAGGCTGATACTTGGATTAGGGTATCTGCAGATCCTTATAGCTTTCTGATGTCATAGCTACGTTTGCTTTAATGCTATTACCATTACTGCTCATTTTGATTTAAAACATTTTAAGAGGCTGTTACTTTTAATATGTATAAATGTAGGCATGTATATATCCGAAAAGGCAGATTGAGTTTAATAAAAGGTAAAAAAAACAGTAGATTGTGCAAACAGGACAAATTTCATTCTGAAGACAAAGATGCAAGTGTAAGGGTTCAAATTGACAAAGAAAGATGTTAAAAAATGGACAAACTTTTTAGCCGTTCAAGAGCTTTTTAACCCAACTTAAATGTGGTATTTAAATAGACTGAATATCCCTACAGATCGGGCGTATCTTTTAAAAAAAACTGATCTAGAATTGTCTTCTACATCAGGATAGACGCAGATATTAATATCAGATTGGTGCATCTCTAGTCTTGATGTATGTCTTTGGTACCATATTCATGTTGAAGAATTTGAGTATCGAGCAAATGGTATCGAGCCAATGGAGAATCCATGATTTGAAGGATGGATGAATAGTTTCTGTCAAAGGCAATCTTATCTTAAGCTTTTTTCACAAAGACACATGTGGGAGTGGGGTTATCTCTCTCTGTGAGTGCAAAGCTGGTAGAGACATATCCCAGAGGACCTGAAACTACGACTCAAGGTGGTTCTACAAAGAACAGGGAAGGCATACTTGATGCAAATGCACACCACACCTTTCAGGCTCTGATTTTTAAATGTTATCAAAACCCATATTTAATTTTTCTTCCATATCTCAATCATTCACTTCTTAATGTTAGTTATGTAAAATTTGCTGTATTGTAATAAAGTATGCTAAGGAGGAAGGGGTATTTGTACATTTGTGGTACATTACTGATGCCCCAAATGTCCTTCATGAAAATAATACAAGTTTGGTATGATAGGAGTTGGTTTCTGTGACGAACACTCACCCAAAACTTTTCTGATTTCAAAATGCTAACCCAGGCTGTATTTGGAATAATGGGATGGAAATCTACCCATGAGCTTAGTGATGTTTTTATATACTAACAGAGGAGAGTTGTTAATGTCGAACAGGAAATGTATCTCAAGTAAAGAAACTACTCTATGCTGTTATTTAACTCTGCACATTCTTTTCTATAATAGCTTTTATTGGAACCGATTGGCATAGTTTCAGGTGCAGTAAATAAAAAAAAAATAAAAAAAAATATATATATATATAAAAAAAAAAAAATATATATATATATATATATATATATCACTTTGAGAACTAAAGTTGTTTTTTTTTTTAGCAAACTACACAAAAATACACAACTTGGAGGAAGTGATGATTTTAAAGGAGGGTTTTATTATAACGCATCAAACATTATACTGACACTAGCCATGCAGTGAGCAGGTGGCTATGCTACCCCCATTCAGACGCTGCAACACTAAATCATCTTAAACAAAACAACATAAATGGTAAAACTTAGATGGGAAAGAGCAGGAAAACATGGTGGGGGGAGAAAATCTACTAGTTTTGTGCCATAACACAGTTTTTCTTCTTCAAAATATAAAAAAAAATATTTCCTCTGTAAAATATACACTTTAAAGAAAACTAAAAATTTTGTTGTCCACTCTGCCTCTTTTTATAATTTTTTTCTCTCCTCTCTCCATAGAGAAGGGGACTGGTGGCTCGCCCGGTCGCTCACCACAGGAGAGAGTGGCTACATCCCCAGCAACTATGTGGCTCCATCCGACTCCATCCAAGCTGAAGAGTATTTCCTTACGTTATATCTACATGTTACTTGATTGCTGTTATATACAGTATAGTTATGACTGCGTACCGTTTCCATGTATGCAGTTGAAATGATTCTAATAGTATTTTATAGGTACATGTGGAGCTCCTGCTGTTCTTTTCAGCAGCTCAGCTGGACTTCCCTCTGATCTTCCTTTTCTTTGACCGACTTCGGCAGGTGGTATTTTGGGAAAATCACTCGACGTGATTCTGAGAGGCTCCTTCTGAACCCGCAGAACCGACGAGGAACCTTCCTGGTGAGGGAGAGCGAGACGACTAAAGGTGAGAGGGCAGGCGCTTGATTTGCTTCAGTGGCTACAGTGTTCATTAAGATCCATCATCAGGATTAGGGCTAATGGCTTCATCTGCAGAGACTCATAATGATGTCATAAATCAGACGTGTTCAGTTATACTGTCCAATTTAGAGCATGTTACAAGCCAAATGCCATTAAAAAAATAAGATAACTGCTTGCAGCTTAATGCTACATTTGAAATCTCATTAAGGTAAAGCTGACCATCAGGGGGTTTAGTCTAGAGATGGAGCAATATATTCCTTCGTTCTGTGTTGTTGTTGTTGTGTCATTATCATGTAATAAAAAGTTACATTTTTAAGCCAAGTAGTAAGTCTCTGAATTAAATACCTGCCAATTATGGAATTGGACAAAAACTAGCATGTAGAATATAGAATGGAAAATCCCTTAATTGTCCCACAATGGGGAAATCCTGGTGTTACAGCTGCAAAAAGATTTAAAAAAAAAATGGTCACACAAATGTGGACCTTAGAAAATTGTATAAGAATAACATGATAGTGAATAGTTAAAAGATAAACAATAAAAATCCAAAAAACAGCTACGGACATTTTTTCAGTAATGAAAATTTGAAAATAGGAGCAACATCAGAGATGTGCAAAAGTTTTTGGGAACAGTGGTGGGTATAGTGTCTTCCAGCTGCTGGGAGGAAGGATCTGTGATAACGCTCCCTGGTGCATTTAGGGTGCAGCAGTCTGTCCAGTTCTGCAACAGCTTCATGCATGGGGTGGAAGACATTATCCAACAGAGATGTTCATTTAGTTAGGATCATTTTTTTCCCCGCCTCCTGCACTGAGCCCAGAGGACCTCCAGTCACAGAGCTGGCCTTTCTGATCCAGCCTCTTTTTATGAGGTACAGATAAGCCACTGCTCCAACTATTTTTTTTCTTTTCCTAATTTTTCAATGTATTTTTTTAGGTAAAGGTCTCTTCACGCATGCGCTGCTCAAGCTCCTGTTTTACATCCTTCTTCCTGACCTCTATCAGACTTCCCTCTCGCTTTGCTGCGTTCGTTATCCGTTCCAATGCATGACGTATTGGTATCGGCACTAAAACTCTCCACTTATTGACAATGCTTATAGTGATGCAGAGTAACCTTTTCAACTTTCCTTTTTTTTTCTTTTTTTCCTTTTACATCATACCCTCGCTCTGCCATTCAACACAAGCTCTGCCCTGAAGCCCCTCTCATTATTTCACACTGAGAGAACATCCAGAGCGGAATACAATTTTAACAGTAAGAATGAGTCCAGCTCCGATTGTCTTAACGTTCTCCTGAAAATCGGGGAAAGGCTAGTGATTGGTTATCATCATGCTTTGCATACATAGTCAGTAAAAGCAGCTTTTCCAAAAAAAAAAAAAAAAGAATTAAATAAATCAGATCTAAAATCTAGGTTATGAAGAAGTTAGCTCACGGGTTAAAACTGTGTGGAAAAAGAGGCAACAGTTCCCAACAGATTGCGATCACTTTGATATGAGTAAATCTTAAGGGACGACATTTAAAAGAGGCAGAAGCTCGTAATGAAGTTATTTTCTTTCAGCCTGTGGCTTACTGCAGCTTTGTTTTCTAAGCTCATGACTGAGATGTTGCCTTGTCTTCAAATCTGTAGTCGGATGTAGCCTCTGTGAGATAGAAGGACCTGGAAAAGGGTTGTTTTTGAGAAAGTCTGGGAGGATAAAGAAAATGAGTGTTGTGGGTTGGACCTGTGAATGGATAGGGGTGAATCACTCACCCTTAACTAGGTCAGCCTTGAAGGGGGCAGCCCCCCCCCCACTCCCCCAGGCTGTAAGTCACACACACACACAGAAGAAGAAGAAGAACAGTGGTAGAAAGGCTTGAAGAGTGTAGAACTGTGAAGGGGCAAAAAAAAGAAAAAAAAAAGAGGAGGATCGAGAAGAGGAGGAGCTCTGGCAGGAGATGCATTGCCTCAGGGTACGTTCTGTATTAGCTGTCAAATGTTTGGTTCTCGGTGTGACAGAGATGAGCTGGAGCAAGCTGCTGACATGTCGAGACAGCAGCAACAATCTGATCTCTGCAAACACAGGCTGCGGATGCACATGGAGATCAATCATTTAAGCTTTATCAGAGATTTGTTTGGGAATAATAACCTACTTGGACGGTCAAAATGTTTCGGGTGGCTCAAAATAAAAAATAAAAAAGCTTTAAGCTTCACTCAAGGAAAGCGTTGAATTAAAGCATGTTTGGTCTGAACGGAAGGTGAGGGTTTGAGCTGGTGGAGAAGAGCTGCCATGTGGTAAGCAGGGTGGATAAACACTGGGAAGAGTAACTCATCTGCCCTAGATTTTTTTTCTGTCAGAGAAAGAGATAAGATCAGTCAACAAATCTCCAGATAAGTAGCAATCCTTTTTTTCTCTTTCTTTTTTTGGCTTTCCATTTCCCACTGGAACAGCTTTCCTTTAGACTTCACGTATCCAAAGGCAATTCAATTTTCGAATCAATCATTTTACATAATCTTTTATTCATCTGACCAGTTAAAATCTTCCCCAAAATGATTTATAATTGATGATTTAAAGCAAGCTCTTATTATATTTTGAAATATTTAGGTTATAGAAACATAAAAATGTAGCTAATTAACCACAAGTAAAAGATGATTTTAATCAGCTGAAAAAAGCTGATTAAAGGAAAATTAAAGTTTTACTGTGCAGTTTGTTCTATATATTTGTCGGCAGGTGACGTTTGATTAACCTTGATCTTGTTAAAGTAACAAATATCATTAATACAAAATATTATTTGGTTCAGTGCAGTTTAGATTTATAAGCATGTGTTACTGATGAATAAATGTTAGTTTAAGAAACAGGAATCGACCAAGTAAATGTAGAATGCAGCTGAATTGCTTCCCCTGCTTTTGATGCTCCTTAATGAAACAAAATGTTCCAGAAGTCTCCGTGTGGAAGCCATGATAAGAGCCTGTTTGAGTCCTTTCTATGTCAACCAAAAGAGGTTCAGTGGCTCCTTTATGTCCATTAGCATCAGATCCTCTTATCAATTCAAAAGAGACGTGTTTCCCTAATTAATTGCAGCCTAATCATTAACAATCCTTCTTGTTTTCATCCACTCAAAGGAAACAGGATTCATGAGTAGTAGATGGTTGGAAGGATAAGTGTTTGCAGTGAGTTTCTCTGTAAAATGCAGCTTTTTCTTTTAAAATGTGTTTTAAAAAGGATTAAAAAAATAGGCCCACAGTATCACGGATCCTAGAGCATACTTCACATTGCTCATGGTGTCCAACTTTAAAAGACAGACCATTAGAACATAAGTATAAGTTTATTTTTTCATCTTTTTGTAGCATTACTACCAGAGTAGTAGTAACAATGTGATGCTTCTATGCCTATTTTGAAAAGAAATAAAATAATAGAAGTCTGTTTATTGGTGATTCTTTGTGGCTAAAGAATGAAGCTAAAGTGAACGTTCATTTTTTACATCAAGCTCCAAGCTGGAAAAGAAAATCCCATGATAGTGGGGATGTACAATGAGTGGACTGAATTTTTAAAGCGCTGAGCCACATTCACCCTCCTCTAGTTGTGAGTCTGCTAACAAAATGTGCATTTAAAACGATCTGATGGCAGCAGAATAATGTATTTCCTGTATTACATCTTTTATACTGTACCAGCTCTGACTTGGCCTAAGAAAGGAGACATATTACTTTAGCGTTTAAACACATTATCTTTACCTCTTTTAATGCTGGTTGAATTAGGTTGGCACAATACAATATTTAGCTTTTTGGTCTTTTTTTCCCTTTTTTTCTGGTCTAACAACAGGAAGAAGTTGAGTTTAGTTTTGAGTCATTCCCTGGTTCCGTGTTCTGACTTTAGAGGTGAATAAGTACATCAACTTGTTCTACACTCGCTGTGGTTCGGTAAAGTTCTTTACATTTTTCCTTTGCATATTTAGGAGTGTTTCCTAATTGAGGCAAACAGCTGAACAGCTCATCTTTCTATGTCTAACCTTGGAAATTGCTACGAAAGTTTCACTAAAAGGCGACTAAACCACCCTCAGTGTTTGTTGCACCAATCTGAAAACCATGGCTGTAAAATTATTTTTACAACTAAACTTTGGTTTCACTGATTCTGATCCACCGACAGCTTTTATTATAATTTTTGCACATTTTTTGTTTTTCCACCCTTTTTTGGAAAGAAAAAAACATTTTCAATTACCGTTAAGGAAGTGAAAAAAGGGAATACTGTGAAAGAATCATATGTTTACCTACATTTTTAGTCACATGTTTTAATTGATGCATTTACAATTTAAAATGCTGTTTAAAGATCAACCTGTTAATGGATTAGTAATGTGAGATTTTTATAGTCTGGTTATACAGTATACATCTAGTAGTATAAATGTATACATATGCATTTTTTCTTTTCCTTATTCATATACAGTGAAGCATATTGGATGTTGGCAACTTGAGTGCATTGGACTTAGAAAGGATAACGGCTAGAGATGTGATTGGACAACATGTTGGAATTCTGGAGTTCTCTGGCACAAATATTAGGAAACTCCTTAGAGCAGCTGTCACGGCGCCTCAGAGCCGCCTGGTTTTATTGTTCTGATCTATCCCCGTCTGCTGTGTTTGCCTTGCCCACAGGGGCGTACTGCCTGTCAGTGCTGGATTATGACAACACCAAAGGCCTCAATGTTAAACATTACAAGATCAGGAAGCTGGATAGTGGCGGGTTCTACATCACCTCGCGCACCCAATTCACCAGCTTGCAGCAACTAGTCTTCCACTACCGCAGTGAGTATTTAGACAGTGCTGCTAGTTAATGTTGTACAGCACTCCTGTCATTAATCTGTTTTGTCTTTACTGTTTCTCTTCCATCAGAGCACTCGGATGGGTTGTGTCATGCTCTGACGGATGTGTGTCCAGTGGCCAAGCCTCAGACGCAGGGTTTGGCCAGGGATGCCTGGGAGATTCCACGAGAGTCCCTTCGCTTGGATGTTAAACTGGGGCAGGGCTGCTTTGGAGAAGTCTGGATGGGTAGGAATCTCTCATGTCAGATCAGATTTACTTTAAACATCCAACCTAAGAGGGTCCCTGACTTGTTTTTATCATCCCTGCTGTGAACTAAATTGTTTCCTTCATTCTTCGGAGTTTGGGTCCCAGGGGCGGCAGGTTTAGGAGAAAGGCCAAAACGTGACACTCCTGATGTATTTTTAGGAAGAAGAGGGAGAGTTTTACTGTGTCTGGTCCCCTTTCTATAAGATAGGCCTGGTAAACTTCCAAAGGAAGGCTCCAAGGAGGTATCCTGATGCCCAAACCACACAACTTTACCTCTTTAGGTGTAGAGCTCCTTACTAATGCTGAAGCTCCTCATCCATACTACAAGGCTGTGACAAGCCAGACTACAAAGTAAGCTGACTTCAGCCTCTTTTATTTGGTTTATGTGCTTTTGGTCGTTACCAAAGTTGATTAGTGGGATAAAAATGGACCAACAGATCAATAGCTTTACTTTCTACTTGCCTCTTTGTCCAACATGCCAGATAAAAGCACCATGGCCCATTAGACCAGGCCTTACTCTGTTTCTCCATTTTCTGCTCCATCCTATTATCACTTATTGTGAGCAAAACTCCAAGATGCCTAAACTATTCTACATGAGATGAACTTCAACCAGAAGAAAGCCGTCATCCTAATTTAACCAATTTAATTTCAATTTGCTTTATTTATGTAGACCGAATTCTCAACACATGTTACCTTAAGGCCTTTTACAGAGACACCTCAACCAGATCATGCAATCAGATTAGTTTAAAGTTTTTTTTATCTTTTCATGGCTTTCAAGAGTTAAAATTAGGACAAAATAAATGTTTCATAAAGTGAGAGCACAGATTTTGTCTACGGAATAAAATTTTATGTTAAAAAATAAATCATTCCAAACTAATGACAATTGTAGACCTAAAAACATATTTATGGGTCTTTAAAGCCTTTCTGTTGTGAAAATTGTATTAAAATGTTCTTTTAAAATCAGCTAAAGCTGCTAAGAATTCTGTTTACAAGTATACTTAAATCAAAACCACTAATTGGTTCTTTTTTAGTTTTTAACCACTATTAAGAGTAGTTGTAGAGGCTACAAAGATCCACAGGTTGCAGACCCCTGCAGTTGAATTATACTGTATATATCTAGTATTATACTATGGGTAGGATGAACTATACCATTTATGGAGTGAACATATGTTACATTGAACCACCTTGGTATTTTTAGGGTTTAACAGCATTTTCATGAATGATTAAGATCAATCCTAACAAATGGCCATATAGCTCATAGAGGAGCAGAATGTGCTTTAGTGCATTGAAGTTCTTGTATCTTTGACAGGTACATGGAACGGTACAACGCGGGTAGCCATTAAGACCTTGAAGCCGGGCACGATGTCTCCAGAGGCCTTTCTGCAGGAAGCACAGGTCATGAAGAAGCTGAGGCATGAGAAGCTGGTCCAGCTGTACGCTGTAGTATCTGAGGAGCCCATCTACATTGTGACGGAGTATATGAGTCAAGGTAACATAGGAAGGATATTCTACCCATAGGACACTATTAAGTCTTGAAGGTCACATGAAAACAAATTATATTTGTTATTCGTGCAATTTGAAGTAAAATGGTCAATTTAAATGAACATATTTGCAGTTAGTCTCCCTCTGTGTTTGCAGGTAGCTTACTAGACTTCCTTAAAGGAGATGCTGGAAAGATGCTTCGTCTGCCACAGCTGGTGGACATGGCTGCTCAGGTAAACATCTAAAAACATCCATATGATTTACTGTGTCTTAGTGTGAGGAATCTGAGTAAAACCCTGTTGGTTCTCCCAGATTGCAGCAGGAATGGCTTACGTAGAGAGGATGAACTACGTCCACAGAGACCTGCGTGCTGCCAACATCCTGGTAGGAGACAATCTGGTGTGTAAGGTGGCCGACTTTGGTCTCGCTAGACTGATTGAAGACAACGAGTACACGGCAAGGCAGGGTACGTCATTTCTAGAGGGAATATTAGCAAAACGTTTCTTTCTTCTATGACGTGCTATATGCTACAAGTGGGGAAGTTCAACACTTGAGTTCGTCTTCTTTCTTTAGGTGCCAAATTTCCAATCAAGTGGACCGCACCAGAGGCTGCGCTGTACGGCCGTTTCACTATCAAGTCAGACGTCTGGTCCTTTGGGGTTCTACTAACAGAGCTTGCAACCAAAGGCAGAGTTCCCTACCCAGGTTTGTGTTTGCTTTAGAAAGAAACTCTTCTAGTCCATACATCCAGTTATTGTCCATTTATCCTTGCAAGGTGTTTGAGGAGAGTCTGCGGTCGTTGGGCTAAAGTCTGAGTTCTCCCTGAACACATCATCAATCACGCTACATGCACTCACTACCCAAAGATCAATATACCTGACAGTCAGCCCTGCTGAGGGGGAGCACGAAAAATCCACTCACAGAGACCCCAGACTACAGTTTGAACCACTGAAAGGAAACTGTCCCACATTAGCTAGCTTTCCCACACTGCAATTCAATTCAGTTTATTTCTATAGCACCAATTCACAACACATGTCATCTCAAGGCACTTTACAGTTCAACAGATCATACAGTCAAATTGATTCAGAGTTTTCTATATAAGAAAAACCAGTTGATTCCATCGACTCATTGACTCTTCAGCAATCCCTCACACTAAGCATGCTTGTAGCGACAGTGGAGAGGAAAAAAACCCTATTAACAGGAAGAAACCTCCAGCAGAACCAGGCTCAGTGTGAGCGGCCATCTGCTGAGGCCGACTGGGGTTCAAGGA